TTCTGGCTGTGCCCCCTCCCAGCTTCCTCTGAAATTTAACCCTGTCCTAGCCAACGCCAGGATGGTTCGAGTCTCATCACTGCTCATTGTTCTTCTCTGGTGGAGTGGTCCGCAAGTCTGCCAGCATGCTGTGTTGACCGCACGTTGCTGGGCTAGGTGTGGAACAGTTTCTGCTCCCGGTCTGACTCCCTTGGACTCCATTTAATGCATCTTTCCATCTTGGCAATCAAGATCAACAACTGCCGTCTCTCTGTCGTCAGTTAGCATTGAACTTTGAGGGAGCAAATCTAAACTCTGCTGCCCCAGTTTCCTTAAATGGCACACACACAAAAGCTTTAGCAATGTCAAAATACACACATCTGCTGGTGCTTTTGTGTTCAGAAACAGAGTTTCCGTGTTTTCAAAGGAAATGAGTTTGTTCTGACATCATTTGCTATTGGCTATTACTGATGCGGTTGTTTTCAGAAACACCTTTGTTAGAAAAATAGTTTATTTGCTTTGATTTCTGAATGCTTTTAGAGCTTGTGAGGACTTTTGCCGTTGCTGTTCCTGCTTTCAAAAGAGCTGAGATCAAGTCTTATTTTTGTACCTGTGAGTGTGGATTATTTCTAGGAAGAGCCTGGCCTATGCCAGCGTCCTGTGATTGTATTCAGTGAAAGAAAGAAAGGGTGATGTTCAGAGGTGCTGCCTTCTGACAATAATAGGAAGAGTTTAGATGAAAGAATGACTTACCAGCTCCCATGACAGAAATCTAGTTTTATAAATTGCTACAATTTGACGGAGTTGACTGAGAACATGCCAGGGAAGGATGGTAATTTAGAAGAAGAATAATAAAGTGTTATTTGTTTGACAGGGAAGAGAGATGGGACCCCATGCTTCAAGTGACTTAAGCAATAGCATTTTTCTAGCCTTGCCTATTTCTGCCACAGCCAAACCATTTAGCAAGTTGTCTTTCTGAGAGACAGCAACTCATTCTGCTCTCTTCTACCACAAAACACCTGGGAACTACTCAAGAGAAAAGCTTCCTCATCCCCACCTCAGCCGATGCCAAAGCTACCAGCCAGATTTTTGTAGGGTCAGCTGCTTTTTTCCCTCGCCACCTCACCAAACCTGCAGATCTTGAATGCCCTCACAGTCTTACTGTACGCTCACCCTATCAGTGATGGGACAGTGCTGCCACTGAGCAATAACATGCTCAGAGGAGAAGAATAACCCCCCAGATGACCCATTAACCAATTGCCACTGGCAATTAATGCGCTGGATGTAGCAAATGTAGAAGTCAACGAGCTCTGCCCAGCCCAAGGTGGAGCGTGTCGCACCTAGAGCAGATTTGAACTAGGGAGCTGCTGCTGCACAGGTGAATGTGCAAAGGGCACAAGCAAGAACTACTGTCCACCTTCTTTCCAGAGGCTGGTGGATCCCGGGCGCAGTACGTGGTGCCTCTTGCTGGCTGGGTCTATCGGTGGGCACGCTCCTGTTTGCTGTATTATGCAGGTGTGCTGGGGAAAATGAAGCAAAACTAAGAGTTATCTTTGTGGTTTTTGCCTGGCCTGAACAATTTCACTTGTTTTGATCTGCAATGATCTGTTTACCCTCGTGGTTTTTGCCTGGCCTGAACAATTTCACTTCAGGACCAGTTTTGATCTGCAATGATCTGTTTACCCTTCTGGGTTCTAGCGTGGAGCTGCTTGATGCAGGCAGCTCATGTTGACCCCACTCGGTTCTCCCTTTGACACGGTTTTTGTGGTGCCAAACGGAATGATTAAAAAATAGTCTGAGCATGTGCAAAGGTCTGCAGCTCGTAATGAGCTGATTGAATGTGAGTGATGCCAGGTGGTCCCTCTGCTACCAAGAAAACCCCACCTGCAAGTGTGTTCTGTCTCTGAATCTCTCTGCTCTCGCCCTGATTACTCACTACGCTCATTAATCCTTCTCTAATGCATAATTGCTCTGTGTTCTTGTACATAAGGGAATTTCTGTGTTTGAGTAACACCACTTCGGGCTTTTTTTACTTTGAAGCTCCTGAATGTACCTCAATAACTGCAGTGTCATTTGTTCACTTCTAGGAGGTTCCTGTTCTCCAGATCCCACTTGTGCCCAGCAGATATTTGGAGCTGGCTCTGCTCACAAACAAAGAGCTGGTAAGGATCAGAAATTATCACCATGCTATGGCCATTGTGTTCTATTGGAGGCAGTCCTTGGTGTTCAGCGTTGTAACATAGCCCTTCTCCATTTTCAGTTGAAACTACGAGACCCTGGTGCTGCACCTGCTCCTTTCCATAAGCAACCTCCTACAACACGGTGAGTTTTAATGGCGTGGTAATTATGTTCGCTGTTCTGCTCTGTTGGCTGTCTGTCTGACCCGCTGCCCTGGGAAAGAGATGAATGGTCTGTGCCTGACTGCAGCTACTCTACCAGGAAGCCAGGTGTTCCTCAAGGCTCTAAAACCCACTTCAACTGTTCAAAAATTGCTTCAAATAGGAGTGAAGCCAGTTGAAAAAGAGTTTGGAAAGCACCCCTTTAAAACACTGGATTGGGAATATGCATTATTGTTACTAAATGCTTTCTGGTAGCTCATTACCATCTCCCTGTCTCTTCACCTCCTTCTTGCTCTGAGTCCTCCAAAACAGCACATGAGTTGTCATCTGCTGCTGCTTTGGTGTGCATACACTGACAAAGCGCTGGTGCGTCAGCTGCAAAGCACTCAGAAAGCAGCTACGCAGAAAGCTCTGGTAAATTAATATAATGCACAAAAATAAATGGCATGCTCGGATCCTTCAGCTTTAGCAAGAAAGTGGCTCTTGCCTGAATAAGGGGGAGACTAGCCTGGTGCCCGGGGTCACTGCATGCCCCGTGGGCTGCAGGGGATGCAAGCTCTTGCTGTCTGCTGGGTCTACATGCACATGAAACTGCAGATCGTCATCATAGAATCATTAGGTTGGAATAGACCTCTGAGATCAAGTCCAACTGTTGACCTAATACCACCAGGCCCGCTAAACCATGTCTACAGGTCCCATATCTAAACTTTTTTTGAACACCTCCAGGGATGGTGACTCAGCCACTTCCCTGGGCAGCCTGTTCCAATGTTTGACTACTCTTTTGGTAAAGAAATTTTTCCTAATGTCCAACCTAAACCTCCCCTGGCTCAACTTGAGGCCATTTCCTCCTGTCTATCAGTAGTGACTTGGGAGAAGAGACTGACCCCCTACCCCACTACAACCTTCTTTCAACGATCACCAGAGCCAAGCCTGCGCTGGTAAGGTGGACCGCATAACTGCTGTCATGAAAGACTGATCAGCATCAATGGAGCCAAGAAGAAGCAGAGATACGGAGGAGGAGCAAGGTGTGTTACCTGGCATAAAAGATGACTCCTCAGCACCCGAACTTTGGAAGCTTTCCCCACCAAGGATCACAACGATTGTAAGGACCGGCGGGACACTGCCTAGACCTGGGACCATAGGGACGCCTTGGACCTGCAGTGGTGGCTATCAATCTCTTTCCTCTTTTCACTTTTACTTTTTCTACCCCTTTCCTTTCACCCTGTTTACCTATTGCACACTGCTTTACAGGCAAACAATAAAGATTGCACGCCGCTTTATGGGCGAACGATAAAGTTTCACTTTTTGATTGAAGCAAACCCCTTTGGTGTGGTCGCCCTAATTTTGCTCTTCGAGATCACAGCAAACGAACCGTCACAGCTCCACCGAGTGGACCGTGACACACATGGCTGTGTAGTAGACTTGGCTGCATGTACCGCCTTCACATTTAGTTTAAAGCCCTGTCAATCAGCCCCAAAATCCCTTGGGCAAAGACCCTCTTCCCCCTTAGAGAAGGGTGTCCCCTGTTGGATGCCAGCATTCCTGGTGCTGTGTAGGTCATCCCATTATCACAAACCCAAAATGGTGGTGGTGACACCAGCTACGGAGCCATGTGTTGATAGACTGGATTCTCCTGTTGCTTCCAATGTCACTGCTTTCAACTGGAACGGGAGAAGAAAAAATAACCTGCGCCCCAGATTCTCCCACTAACCGTCCCAAGGCCCTGAAGTCTTTCTTGATCATTCTTGGACTACTAGTTGCTGCTTTATCTCCCCCTACGTGGAAAATCAGTAGTGGGTAGTAACCTGTGGGCCTCACTAAGCTAGGAAGTTTCCTAGTGATGTCCTTAACATGGGCTTCACGGAGACAGCAGACCTCTCTGTGAGAGGGGCCTACATGGCATATTGGACCCTCTGTTCCCCCCAGACCAGAGTTACCTACAACTATACCCCTTCTTTTCTTCCTTTTGTGTGTAGTGGTGGTATGGGTGGTTGGCCTGTCTGACTGTGTAGACAATTCTGGTGTGCTTGCCCATTGTCCCCATCCTTATCTAGCTGTTCTTCCTCAACCAGAGCCACATACCTGTTGCTCAGAGGCGCCTGGAGGGGCGAGGTGGGCAAGAGGGGTTTTTGCCTGCTGCCCTTACCATGAACTTCTCATCACTGCTGCTTCTTGCCAGCCCAAGGCTCTGGCACTCCCTGCGGCCTCTGACCTGGACGGCTGCATGTTTCCGTGGGAGCTCTGCCTGGGTTCCCATGTCCCTTCTGGTGCGTGTAGAGACCGCTGCCTTCCGCCGGGCAGAGACCATGGCTGAGCTGCTGATCTAGCGCTTGGCTAAACAACTCCGCTGCTGTCCCTGCTGCTTTGCTCTTCGCCGACTGAGCGCCCCTGCCGCGCGAACGGCTGCGCCCCTCTGTCCGCTCGCCCAGGGAGCAAGCCCTTGCCTGGTGATGCCCTGGGTGTAAGTCTGCTCCAGGTAGGGTAGGCATGCTCAGACACCACTAGCTAATGCTCCTGCTGTGCCTGCCAGTAAGTTCTGTCTTTACAGACCTCCTGGTCTCATTTTGTCTGCCTCATCTGGTAACCTTCATCGCATTTCTTGGCTGATTCTCATGAGCTAAGCTGCAGCCATTTGAGTATGCTCTGAAATTGCTTAGCCTGATTTCCAGTGCAGTGTCTGCCATGGTTTCTGTGCTCACCTATATGCATTGCTTCAGCAGTCCGTACGTTGTTTCTTCTGGAAACAAGGTAAGCTGTAGGCATGAATCTTCCACAGGACACTCGTATCTAAGCAACAGGGGATGGTTAGACTGGAGCAAACCCAGTGCACTGCTTGGGTTCAGAGCCCATCAGGAACCACCCGAAGGCCATTCAGCCAGTGTGGCACAGGCTAAATACTCCTGGGCCGGGTGCTTTGGCCCATCAGCTGCACAATACCGGTAGGGAATGGCATTCTCCAGGGGCTTCTGTCCTTCAAACAGCTTCTGGTGGCAGAGCTGACAAGCAGTTGAATGGCTTGCAGCGCGCTGTTACGCTCCGTGTTTGGTACCAGCTTGAGGGGCTCACTGCTAGAGTCGCCCCAGTTGGCAAGCTGGGCAGAAGTAGAGGTGATGACAGTGGTCAGAGTTAACTTCTGATGCCTGCTTTTTGTTTGTATGGACTGAATGTTTTTGGGCCCTGCCTGGAGCGGGAGTTCAAGTTGTCTTAGGTGACCAAAGGTGCATAGAGGTCACTTCAGGCTCATCGCAAAGGTGATGCTATGTGATTGCCTTCAGAAAAATAATAAAAAATGAATTCTTCTTCCTGCCTTGGACTAGTAGTGGAGGTGAGAAATGTAGCTGCAGATTGGAAGAAAACTACTGTGTTTAACTTTGGAACTGCTGATGTGCTAGTGATAGGTAGAATATCATTAGAAAAACCACACAGCTTTCCGGTCCAATGACAGTTGTGTCCTGGTTTAAAACTTAAAACTGAAATTGCACACAGGCCTGTGGGTGCACACACACACTCTGTGGCCCAGTGTTGCGTGATCTTGAAGGGGCTCATGTCCACTTGAAACTTCTCTTAAGTTCTTTGTGGAATATAAACTGATTGTTTTTAATTTGTACTACATCACAGCTGGGGAAACAAAGCAGGTAGTATAGTGACTCATCTGCTCATCAGCCACCAGTGGTACCACACAGTAATGCTGGAGAATGGCTGCTTTTAAACTGGTTTGCTCAGTCATCTGAAATGTCCCAAGTTGAACGTAGGCACAGGAGACTTTTCTTTGCGTGATAGCATTTTGAGAAGGGAAGGAAGGCAAGGATGCACAGCACCCTCTTCCTTTTTGTCGGTCACATGAAAAATGGAAAGCTGAAGAACAGTTTCTTAAACTGAATGGCAGAACTTGGTAAACTTCAGGAGGATGTACTAAACAGTGACTTCTCCTTCACTGTAACTTGCACTGTTACGTTACAACTCTGAAGTGACTGGGAACAGGTTATTGATATTCATCCCTCACCTTAATGCGGAGTCTGACTCAACACAAGCAAGGGAGTACTCTGCTTCATTTGCAGGTGATAGTTGAAACTATTAAGTGCTCTTTCCCAGCAAACTGTTGCAGTCTGTTGTCTGATGTGGCCTCTGCATGTGTCCGCAGACCTCCGAAGTGGAGCAACTGGACAGTGGTATGACAGACATCACCCCAGAGCCTCCCCAGGAGCCCGCTGTAGAAGATAGCAGAAGAGCAGGAGGCAGTGCCTGCTTCGACTCACGTCGTGTCAACCCTGGGTATTAACCCCCACGTCTTGCAGCTGAGTGTCTTGCAATTTCCCCTCTCTGAAAGAGAGGACTTGGTAATATCTCTGACTTCTCCATTTGCCTCCCTAAGGGAATTTATATACCAACTTGTAATAAACTATACTTCACACCTATGGTATGATTAAAAGGCACATGTTAGACTGGCATGTTTCTGTGGTAAGCCTTTATAGACATGAAAAGCCTAATGCAGAAATTAAAATCATCTATAGGCTAGAACTGAGATATCCAAATTCTGAAGTGTGGGCAATGGAGAAGCTATTGGTCAGGGCCTCAGGGCCAGCTTGGGGAAAACAAGGTAACAGGATAACTGGTCTTGGTTTGGGGTTTGGTGGTGTTATTTTTTTTTGATGAAAGGGTAGTACCTGGAACACTTACGGGCTTCTAAATGTGTTTTTAATTTGTAAGGAAACAATAGTGGAGTTATTACTTAAGCTGAACAGTAGGTAGAGCTAAGATCCAAGAAACCACGATTATTTTAGGACTTGGTGCCCATCCTAACAAGTACTGTGACACTGATTTAACTAGTAGTTTGTAAAAATTTATCATCAGCTGGCAGGCTTCCTTTCAGTTCTCCTGAGCTGTGTGCCTTCACGGTTACTTGAAGTGTGCGCAGCAGGAGTGTATTGTTTGGTTACATGCCACATGTAGAAGTTATCTTGGTTGGGAAAGGAGCTGATGAGATCAGCTCGCTGCTGCTGTGAGAGTGATTGCTAATGTGCAGGCTTGCCTTCTCACCTTTCTAGATTATGAAAGCTTCCTTGCTTCCTGATGGAGACGACCTAGGTTTGATCCTGGATCATTATCCTGGGAAGCAACCAGTAAAAATTGATACCTCTCAAGAGATCTGTTCTTTGAGGCTCCCTATTTCAAAATCCCAAGGACAGAACAGATAGGCAGGTATTGTGAGAAACCACATATTGCATGAAGGAAGAGTTTAATTCTAGTATAAGCAGGAAAAATCCTGTCACTGGCTGAACATATGGCAGAGCAGTTGTGTGCTGGGGTGGGTTAGCTCTGGCCAGCAGCCAGATGCCCACCCAGCCACTTTCTCTCTCACTCTCCTCAAGAGGATGAGGGGACAAAATTGGATGAAAAATGGGTAGAGATAAAACCAGAGAGATTGTTTTGCTTGTGACAGTAACTGGCAAGCAGACTTGAGTGAAACGAATTTATTGCCAGTTAACAAAGGTTTAGGTAGTGGGAAACAAAGACGAATTATAGTAACACTTTCCTACCCTGCCTTGCCTTTCCCAGGCTCAACTTCCCTCCTTCCTTCCCAACTCCTCTATCTCCTGCCTACTGCAGCGGGGCAGCAAGGACAGGGAATGGCAGGTTGTGGCCAGTCCGTAGCAGTTCCTCTCTGCCATTCCTTCTTCCTCATGCTTTTCCCCTGCTCCAGCGTGAGTCTTCTCCCACGGGCTGCAGGGGGAATACCTGCTTTGGTGCTGGAGCTCTTCCTGCCCTCCTCTGTCTCTTGACCTGGTGCTCACACTGATGTTTTCGCTTTTTTGTTTTTGTGCCTATGGGGCATTTTCTGCCCTTTTTGAAGTTCTCAGAGAGGCACCACCAACTCTGCTGATTGGTTCAGAGGTGCCACAAACCCCCTGATGGGCACAACTGTGTCCAGCACAGGGCAGCCCCTGGCCTCTTCTCACAGAGACCAGCCCTGCAGCCCCTCTCACTCCCAAAACCTTGCTGTTTACACCCAATACATCCACTAGATGGTGATCTCAGTAGGAATAATGCCTCTGATAGCAACCATGGAGCTGCTTCCTTGATGAAATGGGCAGACCTGAGATGTTTCTGTGGGGATGGTTTCAGCCCAGATCCTCTTAATAGCAATCAGTGTCTGCTTTCCCCATGGGATGCTTCTGTTCTAATGGTCTCACTATGACAATATCTGTTAAATTAGTGGAAACGGTGAATTTTGGGGTGAGACTGTACATGTTCTTGGTGTAATACCACGTGCTTTTGTTTGGCTAACGCGAATCAGGCTGGGCATGGAGGGTTTTGCAGTTCTCAGTACTGCAAGTAAATCACAATTAGCTCTGCGTTACCATCACAAACCATGACAAATGTTTTTGCGGGCTGATCAAGTACTAAAATACCTTTAAAGTATCAGAAGTGTGCTGCTGAAAAGTGAGTGCCCCATTCACTTAAATGGTCTTCCTGCTTCTTCCCTCTAGTCGGAGGGCTGATGCAATCCAAATTTGCTAACGTAATTTTCCAACCGCCAAGTGCTTCTTTGCAAGATTTCAAGGGACCAAGGACTTCGAGCAGTCCCCCTGCTGTTACCCTTTTGTCGGCGACTTCTCTGTTGGTGTCTGCATTCTCTGTACCGCCATCAGTCCCTGAGATACAGATGAGAACAGCTGGTGTCTGCAGGCAGGAGTGACGTGTGCCTCTGGAAAACTCCATCACCTACAGAATGGGGAAGCCACTGATGGATATGGCACTCTTCATGGGGCGCTCGTTTGGTATTGGTTGGGGACCCAACTGGACACTTGTAGGCTGTGGAGGCTGATTGAGTGGGTCAAGTGAAATGGAGGATCTTCAGTGTGAGTCTGTAGAATACAAATTCCTGCCAACTCCTGTTGTTCCAAAATCATGAGTAGTCTTTTTCTTCAGGATGGTTCTGATGTACTCTCTCTTCATGTTTGAAAGAATCTTGATTGTAGGTCAATCTTCCTTCTGATGTGCAGCAGTGACGCAAGATCATGTTAGCCATGGAGATTTCCTTCAGGTTGCTGCTATATAAAAATCTATATGTCAAAGACCTGGAATATTGCAGTAAGAGTAGTTATTTTTTTAACAAGTAAATAGCACTGTCATCCAGCAAAAGGTTAAAAGAGGGAAAGTCAAGAACTGTTGTCCAGGAAGCTTCTAATCTGCTGTTGATCCTCCCTGAGGATACCTGCCCTACCTAAGGAATTTCTTGTTCAGCTTCTGAATTCTCAGATGCCTTCAATTTTGCTGGTATATAAAGCAGTATACAGACCTTTCCTGGGCAGTGTAACTGCATACCTAAACTTGACTGGAATAGAAATAGATGTTCTACCATTTAAGTCTTCCAAAAATCTTGTTTGGTTGATGTTCTGCAGCATATCTGATTTGCTGTCAGAATGATGTGCTCTCACAGAATGTACAGGGTGTGATAAAGTGGGCTAAATGCCTTTTGAGGGCTGGAAGCACCCAGTTGGATGAGGTTTATTTGCCAAAGTCTGGTTCTAAGTCCCAGACTGTGTAACCAGGTTTTTCATACCTAGCTGTTGACCTCAGATCATAGTCTTACTGTCTTGATGTCAAAATGAGGACAGGCTACACAATGCAGCTGCTCCATGATGGGTGCAGTTCGCTTGCATGGAGAACAATTCAGAACACCGCTACCTGTTTTGATCTTCTTTTTTCCTCCAGACTCTCACAATCCTCTTTCAAGGTTCACGTGGAGAAGCTGAGCTTAGAACAATGGAAGATAGGCAGAGACAAAGAGCTGTATCTCATCCCTCTGGAGATAAAGCTGAAACGGGGCACTGTCCATCTGGATGAACAGCGTCCTCTTCTGGTGCCCAACCCAGGAGCTTCTGCTATTCATGACTATGCTGACTGGCTTAGGAAGGCAGCCGAGGATCCTGCTGTGACAGCAAGTGAGTATGGACTAATTCTTCTCACAGTGGTGACAGTGAATATGGAAAGCTGTCCAGTTCACATCAGTTTTAGGTTGCATCAGAGCAGTGAAATGTGAATAAACCAGAAAAATTGACTGTACTCGGTGTTCTTTCTGAAAGTATAAACTAGGTTGATTGCATTTGGGGAGCTGATTGACTTCTTGCAGCAACTTGTAACAGTAGGGTATCCTTTAAGATATCCTACAAGGTTCTGCCTATAATCTTATGGGAGTCCTCTCTAAATCTTCTTCTGTGTGTTTTCGCTGCCAATGACTGAATAACTCTGTCCTGACAGGTGGTGTGAGGCCCTGGTGCTTGGCATGGGCTTTATGTGAAGCACTTTGGGGGAACATGGAGAGTCAGAGATGAGCTTGGAGGAGCCCAGTGAATACATCATGGCCCTGGGGTGCAGGAAAGCCTTCTCTCACTGGCTGTCAGAGACTGCTGCGGGACGGATCGAGGAGGAAGTCCCTTTGTCCTGGCATGGTAGTGATGTCGAGGCTGGGAAGAGAATTGGTGAAGCTTGCAGGCTGGCACAGCAGTCAGGTAAGGTGCTGAAATCTCTCAGCTTTTTTGGAGGTGGGGAGGAAGGGAGATGCATAATAAAGGGGACTTAGACATTGAGGGCTGATAGTAACTGGCTGCTCTGAGGACAAGGTTTTCCCTTGTCAGACAGTGATTAGAGTCAGGGCTGGCTTCTCTACTTGCTGCTTGAGTACCTGGACACGTTTATGCTGGCTTACTTGTCAGCTCTCCCACAGGTAGGAAGTGGGGCTGTCTTGCATTTGGAACTGATTTTTTGCACAGTATCTCCTTTGAATGTTTTTTTAATTGCTGTTGTTTTTAATTGAGCTTCTGTTAAACTCCTTCACATTTGTTTTGAAAATGTACATTTCCAGACCCTAATGGCTGGTTTCGTCTTGGTGTTTTATGTCAGCTCAAATCTGCAAACTTTTCCATTCATTTGTCTCCTTTGGGGAGTCTGTCCTTTCCACTCCTTTGTCTTCTCCCACCCCCACCCCCATTCTAGTAGATGTTTGTGGAGTGGTTTCTTTGGTGAGAAACTGTGCACAAAAAGCAGTTGTGCAGCTGTAGGCTGATCAAAGTGCCCCACAACTCAGAAACAGACAGCTGTGGCAGGGCTAGGTGGGAAGGTTTGCCTGATGTGCTGTTGTCTCCTGTTCCAGGTGACCACAGGCTTGCTGTGCTCCTCTCCCACCTGGCAGGTAGCCAGCCTGGTCAGGACCTCCTGGCTGTGCTACTGGTGGACTGGCACAGGCTGCAAGCAGACTGCTTCATCCAGGAGGAGAGTCAGGAGGAGAGGCTGCGGGTCTTTGCCCTGCTTGCAGGAAAGCCTGTAAGTTCTGTTCCTCGGCTCTTGCCATTGACTTGACTTCCCCTTCTTGACAGCAGGGCGCTTAAGCTGTAACACTCGACCGCAGCATGTGCTACGCAGCAGAAAAGGAGTTCAAGGTGTTGACCCGTTGGTTTTTTACTAGCATAACCTCACGCTGTTGCACGCCTGGTACATACTGACCATTGAGTGACAAGTTTGACTTGGCAATTTGTTTCTCTAGGTGTGGCAGTTATCAGGGAGAATAAGTATCAATGTGTGCTCACTGATGGACTGGAAGCGTTGCTTGGCTGTCCACCTCTGGGATCTGCTTCCTCCAACAGCTTCTACTTCCAAGGCATTTGCCATGTACGAGTCAGCGTTTCAGGTAGGCCAGTCATGCCAGGGTGAAGGGAGATCTTCCTCTGTCCCATAGACCATCCAATGCTGCACTGAGACTTGCGTGAGCAGTCAAGTATCGCTGCGGAGGTGCTGAGTGTGGAATTACCTCTGGGTTCATTATTTCAGTAGTCACAGCATCAGATTCCTTCCCCCCCTGGAGTGGGGGCTGGGGTTGAACCTGTTGGTAATTCTAGTCGCTCGAGAAGCTCGCGACCTGCTCTTTAGGGTGCTCTGGTAGTGACTTATTTGAAGCATATCTCCCACAGATGGAGTGTTTGCAGGTGTTTGACAGCCAGACAGCTTATTTCCAGAGCTTCATGTAGGAGGGCTAATAACTGGAAAGCAGCAGGGCATGGAATGCTCTTGCAAACCCAGATCTGGTGTTCTTGCCAGCAGTGAAAATGTCAAGAGGGTTTTGGTGACCCAGGCTGGTTAGATGGTGTGAAAGACAACAGCTCTCCTGCAGTTCAGTGACCTGTAAAATGGTTCTTGTTGACTCTGTGTGCTCAGTGCCGCTCGCTTAGCTGTCCAGACTCTGCCGAGGGAGAGAAGGCTTTCAGGGATGCACCGTCTGTCATTCCATCAAGTCCTGTGTGATCCTCCAGCTAGAAAATCATTCAGGGACACAGGCTGTATGTATGCAAGAACTGACTATACCTCCACACAGTGGCTTTTAAGAGCTCGGTGTGAGGTGAAATTAAGCCTGCCAAAGCATTCTGGGTTTAGGCTTTTTTCTTTTCTGCTTCGTGATAGTATATAGTTGCCGTGTAAGTTTTAAGTGCAGGGGGTGCACCTTGTACTGTCCGTGAGCCTGCTGAGCTGTGTGGAATTCCAAGTGCAGTTTTGTTCAGAGCACTCTATTTAAACTCACTGTTAAAACTATTTCTTTAGAACACAGCAGAGTGTGAAAACTATGCCTGCTGTCCTCCGCCCCCTTACCTCGAGGGTTCTGGTTGTGTGGTTGAAGGAGACGATGATGCAGGAAGACCTCTGAGAGATGTCTGCTTCCGTTTGTTAAAGCTCTACAGTGACAGGTAAATGGGTCAATAGTTACAAAACTACTTAGGAAAATCTTGATCAGTCAGTGACTTGTTGAATTCCCAATCCAGGGGTATGAAATCAGCTCCAGTGTTTACTGAGCCACTTAGAGTAGTCAAAACTCTGCCTTGCATGTCCGCCCTTACAGAATGTGGTGATATTGTCACTGCTGGTGATGAAATAGATGATGAAACTTAAACTTTGGACCATGTTTGTGGTGTTTTTTTTTTTTTATAGGCGTTTTCTGTGTCTGAAGAGTGCAGTAATCGTGCTTCACCATGGTTGCCTTTTTTGAAGGCAGTGAGAAATCTGTGGGAGGCACACATACAGAAGAAAAGGTTGTAATAGTCTGGATGCAGACTCAAAAGCAGAGCAAAGGGATTTTAGCAGTTACTCTTTTCTTTCTTCTTCTTTTTCTTTTCTTTAAAAAAAAAAAAACAAACCACAAAAGAAACTACAGAGCACAGATACAGGCTGAGCGAAGAGTGGATCAGGAGCAGCCCTGTGGAGGATGACTTGGGGGTACTGGTGGATGAAAAACTGAATATAAGCCAGCAATGGGCGCTCGCAGCCCAGAAAGCCGATCGCATCCTGGGCTGCATTAAAAGCAGCGTGGCCAGGAGGTCGGGGGGCGGGATTTGAGCAGCCTGGTCTGGTGGAAGATGTCCCTGCCCATGGCAGGGGGGTGGAATTAGATGATCTAAGGTCCTTTCCAACCCAAACCATTCTGTGATTCTGTGAAAATTCTATGGAATAATTTGAGGTGTGTGAAGGGAAGGAACTAAGTAGGTCTGAACAGCAGATACAACATGGGCAAAATCGGTTAAAAACTTCCATTTTTCCATGAATCTGTCAGAAAACACTTTCTGAAGTGTTTTGCAGCCTAGGAGGTCTTGGTACCTTCTGGCCTCTGAGAGCAGTACATCAGCAGAGCCCTGTCTGCTTGACAAACAGACCTAATGTTGTTTCAATTTATATCAACTGAAGACCAAATATGTGTGCTTTGCAGATATGAAGGCCAGGTAGGTTAGTAGCTCAAATCGGCACAACTCTGCACGCAGAATTGAGGGTGATGCATCATAAAACAATTTCCTAAGTCACTGATAGCAGCAAAGTTTGAACAGCTTATCTATGCTGCCAAGTAAATCCAGGAGAGTAACATGGCAAGGCAATGGAGTGGAGAAAAAGTCAATTTTCGTTTAACTCTGGTAGGAGTTAACTGGAGTGTGAAAATTTTGTGGTCAATTCCTGCTATAGAAGGAAACCGTTCTCATTGTCCCGAGGGACAGAAATGTGGAAACAGCTGATTTTTTGCATTCATGACCTGAATGAAAAACACTAAAATTAATTTGTTTGGGCTTGATCTAAAGCAAAAAAACCCCAGCTGTAAAACCAAACAGATTTCATGCCAATTGGAACAGTTCATGTACTTACCACTTGAAAAACTGCATTTAGGTAAAACATAGGTCTCAAAACTTTTTTACTATAAGAGAAAATTGCAAATGTTCCATTAAAAAAAAAAGTGGAAACAGGACCTGAAGCTTTTATTAGCTGAGAGTGTCTGAATTTGTAATTTCTGACAATTGAACTGTCTGACCAAAACATTTCATGCCAGTCTGCTGAAGGAAGGCTGCTAGCGGCGCTGCAAGCTGCACAGGGGCATGTTTCTGTATGCTAGAGCAGACACAGTTAAACAATCAATCCTTGCAGCCTACAAGAGCAAAAGGAAGATGTTCATGCAAGTGAAAGTACAAAGGAGACAGAGCCCTATAAAAGATGAATGAGCACTGGCAGCACGGTGCTTTCCTCGTGACGTAGGTAGTCCGTGCAGTGGTACTTGCAGGGAGGTCTGAAGAGAAAATCTGTCCCATCATTGTCAGGTTTTGCCTTCATGTTTAAAGCAAGCTGACACGAATGGAGGGGCTGTCCTGGGTGTGGAGGGCTGTGGCTTGCACTGTGCTGCACATACAGCATGTGTTGTGTTGCATGAGCCCCTGCCGTGGCCAGCTCACTGTCACGGAGGAGCCTGCAGGCAGCTCTCAGGCGCTGTCGGTGATTACACCCCCTGCGTGGCCTTGTCTTTATTAAAACATGCAGCAAGAACTTCTCGTGCAAACACCTTTCCTGTTTGACAGTAGAAATTATGACTGTTTCCTTTTGAGAAAATATAAATTAAAAAATAGCTCAAAGAACCAAATGAGGAGAATCTCGTTTTATGGATGGGATCTGCGTGGTATGCTGTGCGTGGATCAGAGGGCTGTTTGATGCGATAACACTCCGGGTTCCCAGAATCTGAAAGGGTGTGAGGTTATCTGTACTATTCTCTTTTTCTTTATAGTCTTAGGTCTAATAAATAGCATCTTATATGGTGCTTTACAGAGTCTGAATGCCCCACCATTTTAAAAGGGTATTCAGGTCCTTGAATGCATCCAGAGGAGGGCAACAAAGCTGGTGAAAGGGCTGGAAGGCATGTGAGGAGCGGCTGGGGACTTTGGGCTTGTCTGGTTTGGAGAAAAGGAGGCTGAGGGGCAACCTCATTGCTCCCTACAGCTTCCCAAGGAGGGGAAGAGGAGAGGGAGGTGCTGAGCTCTTCTCCCTGGCATCCAATGATAGGACGCACGGGAACAGTTCGAAGCTGCAGCAGGGGAGGTTTAGACTGCACATTAGGAAGCATTTCTTTACCGAGAGGGTGGTCAAACACTGGAACAAGGTGGTCGATGCCCCAAGCCTGTCAGTGTTTAAGAGGCATTTGGACAATGCCCTTAACAACATGCTTTAACTTTTGGTCAGGCCTGAAATGGTCAGGCAGTTGGACTAGATGATCCTTGTAGGTCCCTTCCAACTGAAATAGTCTGTTCTGTTCTGGTCTAGTCTAGTCTAGTATATTTTTAATTCTGTTCTTACTGGAATCATAATGGACCAGCACCTCCTGGCGCAAAAGAGTGTGTGGATTTTTTCAGTATGGGAGCTGGTAGTTTCGAATGCAGGAAGGTAGCAAGAAGGACTTGCCCCTGCACTGTGAGGCTCAGAGAAGGCTCCAGAAGAGGCTTTCACAAGTTGAGTTCTGTAATGAAGGTGGCGAGATGCTGGAACAGGTTGCTTGGAGAAGTGATGCTCTTGCCCTGGCAGTGTTCAAGGCTGGGTTGGATGGGACTTTGAGCAACCTAGTCTAGTGGAAGGTGTCTCTGACCATGGCAGGGGGGTTGGAACTAGATGATCTTTAAGGTCCCTTCTAACCCAAACCATCCTATGACTCTATGAGCTGGGTACTTTTGTCTGCATTGCTGCCTTTTACCTTCAAAATGTCATCACTGTCGTTGATAAAGGTACAAACTATGGAGCTGCAGAGTGGACGTGTTTCCTTGCCACTGCCCGAGGGGCCAAAGGATGAGCCAGAACTCATGTGCAAAGTGTCCCTTAAACTGTCCCTACCCGCTTTGCCTGCTTAGCCCCACTGGGAGCTCTGGTGCTGGGTCTTCACCTGCACCAGAGCATGTCCTGCATAAACAGCATGGAGAGTGGAAGAAGAAGAAGTAGATGCACCAGCGTCATTGACAGACTGTGAAAAAGATAAGTTGTTTACTGGGAGGTTGCAACTGTGCTTGCAATGATGTCTTTGCTTGGATTGTGTGAGACTCCCCATGCTGCTGTTCTGCTGAATTCCTGTATTCCTTTATTGACTTAGTTAATGGTCCTATAGGACCACTACAGCACAAGAATGATCCCTTGCTACTGATTTGAGTGGGTGTCAAGAGGTTGGGGCCAGGCTCTTTTCAGTGGTGCATAGCGACAGGAGAAGGGGCAACGGGCACAAACTGGAGCACAGGAAGTTCTGCCTCAACATGAGGAAAAACTTCTTTACCCTGAGGATGGCAGAGCTGCCCAGGGAGGCTGTGGATCTCCTTCTCTGGAGATATTCAAAACCCGCCTGGATGCAGTCCTGTGTGACCTGCTGTAGGTGAACCTGCTTTAGCAGGGGGTTGGACTAGGTGATCTCCAGAGGTCCCTTCCACCCCCTGACATTCTGTGATTCTGTGATTATCTTAAACTATGTACAAATACCTCTGGACTATCTTAACTATGCACAGAAGATTGTCCCATGTGGCCAGGTTTGCACCTGCAGGCACTGTTACTACTGCATACTAAAATATCTATATACAGTTAGGTCAGTTCTTTAGCAGGAACTGTCTGGGAAGTCTCTGGGATGTCCAGATTCACCACCCCAGGATGTGACTTGGCACACTGCGACAAAAAAATTGGTCTAGGCACAGACAGGAGCTGCTAGAATAGTCTCTGAAATTGAGTCAGTCAAGAGTTTAGTTGCAAGGGTCACTAGGAGGGCAGTAAATCACCTTGTCTCAGGTAGGACTGTTGTCTCAAGCCAGTCCATTGTCTCATCCGTGCAGATAATGAGCTCAGGATTTTCTGGACACCGAGGGAGTTAATGACTCAGCTGCACTAGGTGTGCAGATAGACACATCCTTGATACCCAGTTGTGCCACAGCTATAGCTGTAGGACAAACTTGGGTTTCACACTTATGGCTTAAATGCTCTATCTCTTGCCACAAAGTCTGCACTCCAGGTGACTCTAACTCACATGCTGACAACACTGGCCTAATGAGAGGTCTGCTTGGTGACTTTGCTGCCGTTTATCTCACAGATCTCATGAGGAGGGGGCTGCTGTTTGGGCTGTCTGTTGACACCGTATATAACATTTGCAAGAAACTTCTTCTGGGTGCCCTCTATTCCCTTACAGTAGCCAAAAGGGCTTCTTGCATCTTCCTCAGAAGCCTGTGAATGTTAGGAAAACGATCCTGGACTAGGTAAACCATTCATCTGGTCAAATATGGCAGTTCCAGTATTCCTTGTCTATACCTATGGTATGTGATTTATCATAGGATCACAGGGTAATGGAGGCTGGAAGGAACCTCAGGAGGTCTCTGGTTTAACCTCCTGCTCACAGCATGGTCAGCTGTGAGAATAGATCAGGTTGCTC